TAGCATAGGTGCTTTGCAAAGTGCTTAGGTTGATTAGACCACCGCTTATGCGCTTGCTCTAGGTTTAGGCCTAGTGTTTAGTGAGGTTTGCATACCTCTTACCACTCGGTGGTTGCGCGCACCACTGTTGTTCATCGAAGGGGCTTGTAGTCTTGCAAGATCACACCAACCGTGATTGTGGTGTGGCCGCCACCGTGTACCGGAGGTAACAAGGCCCACAGCGTTTCGGCCGGAAGCTTGATAGTGAAGACAGCGGGGAGCAACTGGGAGAGGCTTGCCGAAAGGCACGTTGGAGACCCACTTGCGCATGGGGAAGGCCCGAGGCTATCCACAGAGTTACCCGACCGGGAGCTTGGCCCTTGCGAGGGGTCCAACGAGGACTAGGGGGAAGCTTACGCGCTTCTCGATACCTCTGTAAAAATACTGGAGTCATCGACTGGAGTTTGCATATCTCTACCTTGCTCTTTAGCTTCCGCATTTACATTGATTACTTTACTCCTTTTGCGGTAGAAATAGCAACACACTAGCAAAACTGTAGTTGCACATTTAGATAGTTTATCTATTGCATAGGTTTTGCTAGGGTTAGAAAAAGAGGCCATAGTTTAGAGTTAGAATTTTAAGTTGCCTAATTCACCCCCCTCTTAGGCGTCATGGTCCCCTACAGCTTGTATGTGCCCTGGAAGTTCCCCACAAAGATCTCCTTCAGATCCACCCAACTCTGGATCGTGTTGGACGGCAGGTGTTCCAACCATGCTCGTGCCGAATCGGCTAAGAACAGTGTAAGGTTGTGGATAATGAAGTCATCATTATCCGCACCACCGGCTTGGTAGGCAAGCCGATAGTCTTCGAGCCAAAGTCCAGGGTTTGTCTCCCAGAGTACTTCGGGATATTGGTAGGTGGTCGGTACCTTGGTGGGAAAGCAGCGTTGAGGATGTGCCGACCGAAGGCCAGAGGGCCCGATAGGCCGGGGCTCGGGCTCTGGTCCTCGCCGCTATCGTAGCGCCCGCCGCACCAAGGATGATAGCCGCGGTGGGCTCCTTCTCTCGGGTCGCTGTAGGTGCGTCTGTGGGCGTCGAGAGTGCGGCGTGCGTCGCGGTTGTGGCCGAGACGCTGATGCACTGGGACCGCGGCATGCTGCCTGCTGCCTTGTGGTGCCTGCTGGACTGACGTGTCCCTGGCGGGGCGCACCGAGGTTGTGCGCTGACTGGCGTCGAGCTCGTGTCGTCGAGACAGTGAGCTCTCATCCTGCTACGCCACCCCACGCTCGAGTAGCGTGCGAATCTCACGGTGGGCCTGACGATCCTCGGGCGTCATAGCCTCTGGGAGGCCATGGAGCAATGCCATCGTGGCGGCGATGTTCTGGCTCGCCCGGGCGAAGCGAGGAAGGACTTCATCATCGGCGATGATCCTTTGGTTTACATCACGGGCCATGGCGCGTGCGTGCCCACCGTCTCCACAGCGTTCGATCTCTCGATCGAGCTCCGCGCATTCCTGCACAAGCTAGAGTCTGGCTTCCTCGATCTCTTGCTTTCGAGCTTTCAGCTACTCCACCCCCATGCGAGGTGGGGCCGTTGTCTCCCCTTCGGTTTCATCACCGAGGTTGCCCGTTGGGGTAGCCTCCTCCGCGGGGATGCTTTCGACGTGTCCCTCGGGGGTACCCATCTTGAAGCATTCCCGGGAGGGGTGATGGCTCCCCCTGCTGGAGTCAGAGCTAGAGGATGACCCTGGATCCTCTGTGAGGAGGTTGTGGAGAGATTCCATGACATGTTCGATTACCCCCACGAACTTGTTGTTCGCAGGCGGTAGGACCATGCGTCGTGCCATAAGGTGGGTAACGGTCACCGCAGCGTTGCGGAGACCGAACGGAAGCGCTGTCGTGGCGCTCCGTATGTGGTGTTCTGGAGAGAGAGGGGTCCTCCTCCGAAAAACCATGCCATGTCATTGGCATCGAAAAGGGTGAGGCAGCACTGGTCCTCCCTGGACTGCTAGGGTCCAAGGGAGACACCGAGCTGGCGCTCAAGCCTCTCGTGGTTGAGGCTGATGGAGGGGAGAGATTGGATGGTAGTGTGAGGCAATGTCAACTCTCCTCCCACCATGATGATGAAGTCTAGGCTCCCGAAGCGCACGTGTGTGCCTGGGACCCAGCTGATATCGTGGCTAGCCATCCGTGGCCTGATGTTTATCATCGGAAAGCGCAAAAGTCCCCTACCTGGCGCGCCAACTGTCGATGTTTTGAGTAAACACCAACTAGTAAATTTATATTTGTTGCGCATTAGACCTGGATGGTGTGCTAAAGGACACAAGGTTTATACTGGTTTGGGCAGAATGTCCCTACGTCCAGTCTACTGCTGCTCGTGTTATTAGCACCGAAAAAGGTTCATAGTAGGGTGTACAAACGGTCCAGAGAGGGACAGGTCCCGAGTCTCTGATGGAAAGGTCGAAAGGACGCTGAGAGCTCGGTTGCTGCTCAGCTGTGTGTGTGAGGTGTGTCGAATTGATCCATCCCCTTAGTGGGGTGCCCTGCCTTCCCTTTTATAGATCAACGGGGAGCAGAGGTTATTGATGGGAGAAAGAAGAAGAACCAGAAGCCAAGAAGGTCCTTCGAAGGTGTCGGGTTTTCCTTTTCCTCTGACCCAGCCCCACTGACATGGCAGATAGTGCCAGGGATAGCACGTTCACTGATCTTGATAGGACCGTGCTCTGGCTTCGTTTAGCAAGTGGTCACGTCCCATCCTGCCCCAGCGGATGACGTGACGCACCAGGGTGCCGAGCCACGACCCTACGGGGAGCAAACAGGGAAGTGACCATACGTCCGTTACTGTAGATGAGGTGAGTTCCCTTCTGGATCGTAGTGGTTGTCGTATGCTTGTGTCAGGATCCGCGTCCGAGGGCTTATGGCGGCGCCCACAACACTGTAAGACAAAAGTCGACACCTACAAACACTGTTTGGGCTCTGTCATGCCTGGAAGGGCTTAAAGCGCCCGTCCCGTCATATCCTGACGGTACTTTCCCGCAGGCATACAGGGCATGGTCCTCGGTACTACGGTTGACTTGAACGTCCTGTCTTACCCTATGCTCATCATTATGAAGGAGCATGGTGCAGACGTCGGGCGAGGCAGAGCCAGCCCTCGGATGTCGGGCGAGGCGGAGCCTGCCCCTAGACGTCGAGCGAGGCGGAGCCTGCCCTTAGACGTCGGGCGAGGCAGGGCCTGCCCCAAGACATCAGGTGAGGCGGAGCCAGCCCTCGGACGTCGGGCGAGGCGGGGCCAACCCTTCGGATGTCGGGCGAGATGGAGCATGCCCTCAAACGTCGAGCGAGGCGGAGCCAGCCCTCAGCCATCGGGCGAGACGGAGCCAGTCCTCGGTCGTCGGGTGAGGCGGAGTTTGCCCCCAGACGTTGGGCGAGGCGGAGCCAGCCCTCAGCCGTCGGGCGAGGCAGAGTCTGCCCCCAGATGTCGGGTGAGGCGGAGTCCAGCCCTCGGGGGTCGGGCGAGGCGGAGCCAACCCTTTGGGGCCGGGCGAGGCGCAGCCAACCTTCGGTCGTATGGGCAAGAAGTGTAGTTGCGTTCTTGCCTGTTCGGAAACATCAACGTTTGATGGTTGTTAGCTCATCCTTTTTGGGTACCCAAGATTCGGTCCCTGACACTATCGCAGAGACATAAAACTATGATAGAATCACTGCATATGGATAACTATACTCGAATAATTATGTGAGGTCTGTAAGCAGTGGTGGAAGCAAGGGAGGCATATGCCCCCCCCTCCTCGAGGTCAGAAATAGATTTTCACAATTTGTGATATGTGCTGGCCTAAGCTTTAGGTGGCAGTGACATTCATCTCCCATATGTGGACACCCACTGTGCATAAAAAAGACTGCTTTTACCCAAGCTCAGAGTGAGAGAGCATGCTTGCAGGAGGGAGCTGACGGGGTGCAGTTCGCTGGGGGCGCAGCCCGCCGAGGAGTGGCCACCGGAGACATCTTTCTTGGACCCGTCGCCGGGCAGCTGCCGTGCGCCATTGTGGACCCGCCATTGGGCGCGAGCGCGGCCCTCGCCGAGGGGCGAGCTTGGCTGCGGGCGGGCGTGAGCGTAGCCCTCGCGGCGCGTCGGGGAGAGGCACGGGGAGGCGAGGGCCGAGCGGCACCTCCACCAAGCTGGTCACCGGGCACAGCCGTGGGGAAGGCGCAGCCGCCGGGTCTCGCAGCCGGCCACGTGACGCGGACGCCATGGGGAAGAAGATGTGCGATGGAAAACAAAATCCCGTGACAAAAAAATAGAAAAAAACAAATAATATGTGAAGCTGTTTTGCCAAACACTATTCAGCTTGTTTTTTTAGCCGGAACAGTATTTTTCTCTCACAACAATTCAGCCAGAACAGTTTTTTCAGCCAAGTTTCAGCCAACCGAATGGTGCCAAAGTTATTGTGAAGCTATTTTGAAAAAAAAATCAATTTTATTGGTGAGGCTGAGCTGTGTCAATCCTAAATAGTCTAGATTTTAAAGAGATTTTAATTCTTAGATTTTCAGAATTTTGAAATCTAATAAAACTATTATAATTCCTTTTTTTATTCTGATTATCAGAATCCAATCAAACGGCACCGTAGGACTTCTAGCAGTTTCTTGGGTAAAGAGAACGCCGACAGAACATTCCGCGGACCAAGGGTCACCGGAGCACCCGACTCGAGACGCCGTGCTCCGATTCCGAGACGGCGACGGGGTCAGCCTGCCATCAATCAACGGGCGTTGGCCAGGGCCGGAAACTTTTGGGCGAGAAAAGCCAAATAGCCCGTTCGGCTGAGGAAAACGAGGGTATAAAGCCGAAATAGTATTTATCTCTCGTATAAATTATCCAGTACATCTTCACGAATCAACCAGCAAATCGAACCGGCTGTAAGCCGCGGTTAATTTAATCCGCCACCCACCAATGGAAAACCTCGTGTAATCCCCCACCGCTGCTCTCAGTCCCAGGCCCAGCCCGGCGCGCGGTGGCAGCGCGCACACGGCGATGCGGAAGGACGCTGCCGCCGCCGGCATTGCGCCGGGTTCGGCCCCCGCGCTGCTCTGCTTCGACCTCAAGCCCTTCCTCGCCGCGCTCACCGTGCTCACGCTCCTCGCCGCCGCCTGGCAGCTCCGCCCCTACCACTCCGTCCTCGCTTCCCCATTCTCGGCGGCGTGCCCGCAACCCACCGCCGGCGCCTCGCTCCCCCGTGCGCTCGCCATCCACGCCAAGAAGGCCTCCCCTGCTTCCTCTTCCGCCACCACCAACTCCACCGCTTCCTCCTCCTCGCCGCCGCCCGGCCCCGAGCGACGAGAGTTCCGCGCCGTGGGCAGCGCGGCGGCGCTGTTCGTGCAGATGGGCGCGTACCGCGGTGGACCCTACACCTTCGCGGTCGTCGGGCTCGCGTCCAAGCCCACGCACGTCTACGGCAAGCCCTGGTTCCGCTGCGAGTGGGAGCCCAACGTCGCCTCCTCGCCGCCGATGCGCGCGGCCAAGACGTACCACATGCTTCCGGACTGGGGCTACGGCCGCGTGTACACCGTCGTCGTCGTCAACTGCACGTTCCCGCGAGTCCCCAACGCTGACAACGCCGGCGGGAAGCTCATCCTCTACGCGCACTACGGGCCGTCGCGGTCCCCCGCGTCCCGCCACGAGCGGATCGTCGCGCTGGAGGAAAGCCCCGGCGCCTACGACGAGGCCGCGTTCCGGGGGACGCCGCCGCACAGGTACGACTACCTCTACTGCGGCTCCTCGCTGTACGGCAACCTCAGCGCGGCGCGGGTGCGGGAGTGGATGGCGTACCACGCGCGCTTCTTCGGCGCCCGCTCCCACTTCGTGTTCCACGACGCCGGCGGCGTCAGCCCCGCCGTGCGCGCCGCGCTCCAGCCTTGGGTGCGCGCCGGCCGGGCCACGCTGCAGGACGTGCGCGCGCAGGCCGAGTACGACGGATGGTACTACAACCAGTTCCTCGTCGTCAATGACTGCCTGCATCGGTACCGGCACGCCGCCAAGTGGACCTTCTTCTTCGATGTCGACGAGTACATCTTCCTGCCCGACGGCCGCACGCTCGAGGATGTGCTCGCCGAGCTTGAACCGTACACGCAGTTCACCATCGAACAGAACCCAATGTCGAGCAAGTTGTGCGTCAATAATCCGGAGGCCGACTATTCCAAGTAGGTGACTCTTGATTTCCCCCCAAATCGATCTGAATTTGAATTGCCGAACTATTCCAAGTATGGAATTGCAATGTAGGAGTAGCTTCTTGTGTAGAGTAACACTGATTGACTAAAAGGCCCAATTGTTTGTGGGTTTGCTTCTAAAGTTGCTTCCTTCTTGCAATGCCACTCTCATAGAAGCAATATAGAAGCAGATTTATGCAATGCAGCTTCATTTTCCTTTTCTAGTTCATGTTTTAAGTTGTCCGGAGAATAGACAAGTCAAATTACATGATTAGGAGTCACCAATTCAGTTATCTAGTCACATTTCGATTGGCAATTGCTGCTTACATTGCCCCCCATGCAATCCTAGTTGCATTAAAGCCATTTTATTGCCCAAACAAGTGATGCAACTGATTCTTCTTCACCTCAAACTTGTGCAGCCAGTGGGGATTTGAGAAGCTGGTTTTCCGGAACTCGATCACTGGGGTGAGGAGAGACAGGAAGTATGCAATTCAGGCCAAGAACGCATACGCCACAGGTGTTCATATGTCTGAGAATGCTATAGGCAACACCACGCACAAGACGGAGCACCTCATCCGATACTACCACTACCACAACACCATCAACGTCCTCGGCGAGGTGTGCCGTGAGTTCGTCTCCGTCCCACCAAAGGGTGGCCTAACATGGTCCGATAAGACGCCCTGGTACTACGACGACAGCATGAAGCGCGTCGCCGATGCTGTGCGTGAATTCGAGAGGGATACCATTGGCGATGTGCGGCTATGACCACTGGCGGAGCCACCGCCCGGCCACCCCGGGCGGCCGGCCAGGCTCGTCGTTGATGTTCGAAAGAAAATTTTCTTTATATCAAAGTAGAATCCTGTAATTTTTAGCTAAATATTTTTGCTTAATAGAAATTGCCCGGGCTTCTAAAAGCTTGTGGCTCTGCTAATGGCTATCACTGACCTGACCACAGAGATAAAAGAGCTGATCTCCAAGTACAGTACTATGTATTGCTGTGAGCCATTCAGGAGGGGCTTGGCGACTGCATTTCTGCCTTCCGGATGTTATGAAGCAGACGTTACCCTATGGTTTGGGGCTATCTGAGATGACAGAGATGCAACGAAAGCGAAGCTGCAACCTCAAGGGGAAAATGGCAGATTGTGTGCCGGTGATGGCCCTGTGACTCTGATATGCGGCGAAGGTGAGGGTTCTTGTAAACAGATAGTATGTCATCAGTGTAAATTCCATTGTTTTATTGCTCAAATATACACATTGTATATTTGTATTCTCTTCTCGAAGTTTCAGCAATGTAGAAACCATTCAGAACCGTGCTGCATCAATGTAGATATGATTATTTATGACACTATTTTTAACTTCGTCATTTTATTGGAACCATAAGATGGAGAGCCTAAGATGTCAGCTGTTTTTTTCTTTCTGGCGGCTCATTCTGGAATAATAATCTGGAGTAGTAGAGGCCTAGATGGTTTTGGAATTCTTGGGGCCATAAAGGCTTGCAGCTAGGAGAGCCTAGAAATGCAGAGAGAAAAAGAAAAGTAGGGACCGGAGGGTGGGCACGGCGTCATGGACTGTAGCGTTGTATGATTGGGCAAGGTTGGTTTTTGCTGGTCCAAAAGAAAAGAGGACCGTGGTATGCAGAGCGTTGCTGCTGCTGCCTTTGCTGGTCCTTGTCATGGCATTCCTTGATGTTCCTTCCTGCCCGTTGCCTGGTGGGCCAAATGCCCCATGCCACATTTGTTGGCGCGTTAAGGGTGACTATTAAGGGTCTCCATAAGATCAACTCAAACCACTGTGTCATTTCGGTTCGATGTCACGTCGTCATTTTTGCGGTGGATTATTAATTGGTTAGTGTCCTATCAATCACCTGTAGATTCTTCAAAGTTGCTGAATTTCTCTCCTTTTTCTGTTCAGATTTAGGATCATTCCTTCTGTTGGACGATTAGAAAATAATTATTTTTAGGAAAGATTGGAAATTATTTTAGTACTGTCATCACAATTCGAGGATGCGGGAGTTTATGCTCACAAGTCGCCACGAGCTGGTGAGAGTGACACGTACTCCGTACTCTGTATATGGCAAGAGGCATTCCCCACAATAACGAGCACAACTGTTTTTTTTAATGTTCGTTTTGCTGAAAAACCATGTTAAAAAATATTATTTGCTGATTTATTATGAGAGAAAATACTGTTACTTCGCTGAAAAGTACGGCTGATAAGCCAAGTGAACAGAGCCTTTATTCTTGCAGTAGGGACATTTGCTGTAAACTCCCGTTTTAGGGGGTGTTTAGATTGAGTGATTAAAGTTTAGGAGGTGTCACATAGGGTGTTCGGATACTAATAAAAAAATAAATTACGGAATGTTCGGATACTAATAAAAAAATAAATTACGGAATCCGTTATTAGCGCATGTTTACTGTAGCACTATGTTGTCAAATCATAGACTAACTATGCTTAAAAAATCCGTCCCGCAAAACAGTCTTCATCTGTGCATTTAGTTTCGTAAATAATCTATATTTAATACTACATACATATATCAAACATCCGATAGAACATCGACTAAAATTTAGGAGGTGGAACTAAACACCCTTTAAATTTCTGAAGAGCAACGTTTGGTTCCGGACTGGAAAATGGGAGATTCTTCAGAAATCTCATGCTGTAAACTCATGTTCTATATACACATAATCCAGCAGGACATTCTTCTGTGCTATGTCTATATAGCCCTGTCCGTTTAGCTGAAATTTAATTTATGTTGATTTATGATAAAAAAAAATACTATTTGTTTCGTTGAAAAGTACCAATAAAATAAGGATGTGATACGCCATTAATAACTGTACGAGTAAAGTAGGACGCCCACCCGGTGCGCTGGATTCGGTTCCTGGCTCCCAGGCCCAGGCTTCCAGCACATGAAGAGAAGAGACATGTCTATCCGCCTGGGGGGTTATCCGATTTTTTTGGGTCCGGTAATTTAAAATTCGGGTGATGAAAACTACTACCGGTTATTAGTCTAAAAAAACACTACCCGTAATTTTAGGTACCCGATAATTCGGATTCGGGTATTCCCGATATATCCGAATTTACAGAAAAGAATAAACTACATAAAATTTCAGTAGCAACTTATATATAATTTCAGCAGCAAATTGTATAGAATTTCAATAACATTTTGTAAAGAATAATGTATTACAATCATTTGTTCAAAAAGAGATAATTATATTCTAATAAAGTGATAAATTCAAGTGAAGCATGTGATAAATACGAAGACATGGACAAATGTTTGGGTAGTTTGGTTAGTTTAGGTACCGAGGGATATTACCCGAACTAATTTCGGGTAATTAAAATCGCTATCCGAATTTGGGATCGGGTATCTTGAGTCCGGGTAATTCAGGTATGGGTAATGGATATATGATATTTTGCCCAGGCTTATATCCATCCACACGCAAAAAGGAGCGAACAGGACCCGGCAAGCGGCAGGCAAGTCACACGCGCAGCCGAGACGACAGGCAGCTTGTGACCGTGGCCCGTGGCCCGTGGGGATCCACGGGCGCCGGGAGCCGTTGTGGACTCACAGCGCGCCGGGAACTTGAGTGTTTTTTTTTCTGACTCTGAAAAAACAGAGAGTTTTTACGCTTGCGTACGAGCGTGGCCAGGAGCATTCCAGGCTTTCAGAGAGTCAGAACAAGTGTTTCAGAGGATTGAGGTCCCGGGACCCGGGAGCTGCACAGTTGCTGCTTGTCAGTCATCTGTGCATCTCGTTACAGAAGGGCATGATGTGGTGCTACAGTTGCTTCTAAACCTTGGCAACGTGGTTTCAGGGTTGGTACAAGATGCATATGACTGGACGAAATTGTTAGGAGCTGCCAACAACAAATGCGTACTCCTAGGCAAGAAAGACCATGTGGAACCCGTATCTGCTTCCCTAGATCGGGGCTCTATGATAAGGTTTTTATTTCAACTCCGACCGAGTTCTCGTATTGGTAGGGACTCGTTCATTCATTCACTCACCTGGGACTGAGATGGTTTGTTAGCAGCATGGGGGAATTGGGATCAGTGGAATTGGGGATCGGCAGCAAGCATAGGATAGATTTCAGACGGAAGAGTACTTGGGGAATATTACAAAAGTGATTACAAGTTCTTCGATAATCCCCTCAGTCCTTCCCTCACCGATACATATACGCTCAAGTGTCCTCTCTTCTCTCGCTACTTCGCATTGGACCACGATGGGCCGAAGAACGTGGGTTGTGCTTCTTGGGTCGGCGCACTCCTGGGCTCGACGACCCGGCCTGCTCAGAAGCTTCGTCCTCGAGTCGGCGCACTCCTGGGCTTGACGACTCGGGCGGCCCGTGCTGCTGCTATGGGCCATCGCCTGGGTTAGCAGTAGTGCTAAGAGCATCTCCAAGAGTTTCATATTTTTTCTTCTATAACTTGTAGTTTTACAACTCTAAAAAAATATTAGAAGGGAAAAAAGAAAGTCATCTCCGAGAGTTTCTGATAACTTGCTTTTAAAAAAATCAAATTTGGGTCTCACGCGACCACCGGGGCGCATCTCGCCGGGGGAACGGCCGTCGGGGCGCGGCCGCCAGGACACGGGCGGAAGATGGCCCGCCGGGGCGCGTGAAGACGGAGAAGGACGCCGGAGCACGCGTGCGTGGTCGCCGAGGGCACAGCTGCCGTGCCGGGCCGGGGATGCCGCCGGGGCGCGAGGACGGGACACGGCCGCCAGGGGCGCGAGGACGGGGACGCGGCCGCCGGGGGCACGATGCCAGGGAAAGCGAATGCCGGTGACACCGCTGCTAGGGCAGGTGCCGAGGCACGGACGCCGGGGGCGTGGTGCCGAGAAAGCGGCCGCCGTCGGGGCGCAGGGTCGGAACTCCGCCGCCGGGGTCGCCGCCTTTGGGGAAGAAGATGCGCCATTGGGGAAGAAGGACGATGCGCCGCCGTTGGGGAAGAAGGATGTGCACAAGGCTAGCGGGCGCCGCGGCGGCCGCCGGATCTTGGGACGCGGCCGTCGGGGATACTGGGCGCGACCACCGGGCTTCCGCGCGCAAAGCCGCTGACATCGGGCACGGCCGCAGGGGCTCCCGCGCGCATACGCCGGGGCACGGCTGCAGGGCCGAGGGGCGCAGCTGTAGATGCCGCCGGATGCAATCGAGTGCGGCCGCGGGGGACACAGCTCGCCGGGAGACGAACTCCAAGGCGCGAAGGGGGAAATCGCGCGGGAGAAGGATCCGCGCGACTCGAGAGCCATGTAAAGTTACGCGGAACTGGCTCAGTTTTCCCAAGCATCAAAATATTAGGAGGATGGATTAGGAACTGTTGAGAGAGATTTTTTCTGATTTTTCTAACACCCCCTCCTCCTTGAGCAGCGCCATGACCCCATGCCGGCACCTGCGGAAACTGCTCCTTTAGGTGGTCTGCAGATTCCCAGGTAGCCAGAGACTGGCATGTGGGACCACTTGACGAAAACTTGCTCCACCGGGTGATCTCCAGAAGTCCATCGGCGCTTTAATATGCGTTCTAGAACCTGGAACATAACAAGATCAGTGGGAAGTGCTGAGCTCACCTGGTTGGTGCCCGAGGAACGCTTCAGTTGAGAAACATGGAATATTGGGTGGACTGAAGCTGAAGATGACAATTGCAGTTTATAAGCCACTGCCCCGATGCGCTCCAAGATACGGAAAGGACCAAAGAACTTGAATGACAACTTATGATGATCACGGCGAGCCACCGACGCTTGGACATAAGGCTAGAGCTTGAGGTAAAAAATTTGTCCCACGTTGAAGGTTCTCTCGGTCCTGTGTTTATCAGCTTGACGGCGCATGCGATTCTGAGCCCGATGAAGGTGAAAGCGCACCAGACTGTGCATGAGGTCGCGGTCCTCAAGCCATTTCTGTAGGTCAGGTACAGGGACGGCATCAGCAACATCAACGCCCAAATGGCGAGGAGGATATCCATAAAGTACCTCAAAAGGAGTTCTGCCCAATGCTGAATGAGTACTTGTATTGTACCAATACTCTGCCAAGGGTAACCAGTGAATCCAGCGCGAAGGGCAGGCATGAATGAAGCACCGAAGGAAGGTCTTAAGGCATTGGATGACCCGTTCCGTTTGGCCATCCGTCTGTGGGTGATATGCCGAACTCATCCGCAATTGAATGCCAGCCATCTTGAATAAGAGTTGCCACAAAACGACTGGTAAAGATCCGATCACGATCAGGGATAATCGACTTGGGCAGGCCATGCAATCGATAGATGTGATCCATAAACAGCCGAGCCAAGGGATGGCAAGGTGGAACAAAATGTGCAAATTTGGTATACTTATCCACTACCACGAGAATAGAATTGGCAGAGACAGACAACGACAGCCCTGCAATGAAGTCCACGGAAATAATTTGCCACGCAGGAGAAGGCACAGTCAGCCGTGACGCAATCACGCAATGCTGTTGATAATCTCGGCAGAAGAAAGTATCCGTCTTTTTACCAAGCTATAGAGTAATTCAAAGTGGGCCACTTCACTGCACCAGTAGTCTGCTACACAGATTCATATTCAGAAATCAGACAGGCATCGTTGTCACTTGCGTGGCAGAGGCAGGGCGAGGTCGGTCCGAGGTGCCGGGCTCGCGCTTCCTTCCATGATTACGGCGTTGCTTAGGCGACCTGGATAACAACGACAGCAGCAAATTCCCCAGCAAAGCTTTCTTTCTGGATAAATAAGCTGCTGCCTGCGAAAATTGATGGCGTTCTGTTTGACCTTTTCTTTTTGCCCCTGCTCCTGAGATGAGGTTTTGTTTCCATTTGCTCAAGGAAGCTTGGTGGAGACGGTGACGAGGTGGCCAGTTGCCCGGCGTTGGCCGTGCATTTTCCTTCCTCGCAGATCAAATCGAATGTGCAATGTGATCGTTTTCACCATCGATGCTCATTCATCACCTATCCTCAGCGGCGGACCCAGGATCTGGAGGGTAGTCCTGGTAAAAAAAATTTATGGGTAATACTATAAAATCCAAATAAAAAATTCGACAAACATAGTTATAAATTAACCAAATTACGATAATACATTTAAAAGGTTCGAAACTTACATAAATACTCCCTCCATACTGGTAAATAAAGTCGTTTAGATATGATTTAGCATACCAAAGAGTGATTAATTAAGAGGTATTTTTTTCCTGTTTTCTCTTAATAAATAGGGTTGCGGGTATCACCTATCCAACAAACTTTCGTAGCTAGACTGGTAAACACGCTACGGCCTGAGGCACGAGGTCTCCGGTTTGATCCCTCTCGGGTGCGTTATTTTTTTGAAGAGCTCGTGGATTTACGGTGTCTTCGGCCTGGGTTAAGACGAGAGTGACCGTGAACCGGTTTCTAAAAAGTAGTAATAGAATTTTGGGCCAAATTTGTAGGTAGTCCTTGCCTACCTATGCTACCTGCTGGGTCTCTCTCATTCAGAGGCGAAGAGTCAGCGACCGCAAGTCGCCGTCACGCTTGGCCACGTCTCGCAGTGGGCTTTGCAAACTTTTGGATGGAGGTCTTGTTGGGCCTGCAAGGCAACACATTGCAGGCCCATCTGCGTCGCTGCCCGTCTCTTTCAGAGCCCAGCTAGCTAGAACTAGAAGGTGAAGTGAATCCAGCCAACATGAATGAGCAACGAGCGATTTAACTTGGCGGTCACGACTAATCCAAGAGCAGATAGTGGCTGGCCGGCGGCGGATACGCGTTACTTTCCGGCTGCAAGTACCCTGCCCTGCCCTGGATTAAAAGGCGGATCGCATCACCGTCGCCGTCGCCGTCGCCGTCACCGATCACACCCTCCCTCCTGACGCTTCGTCGTCGTCCAGGGCCTGACCTGACGGTCCATCGCTTTCTCCGTCCGTCCGGCCGGCCGGCGGCCGGGACATGCCTGCCTGTCGATGAACAGAACAGGGTCAGTCAGGCATGGTCCTTTCCGTCCCATTTGTGCAATGGGCAGAGTCAACTACTGTACTCCTCTTCCTCAGTGCAAAATAGATGTATTACTTATTTATGTGCCATTTACGTGTGGACCAGAGAAGTGCCGAAGCAGCAAGAATCTAGAGATGGATCGAGGAATCGATGCAAATCACTGAGCAGCACAGACTGCAGCTCCAGACGCTTCAACTTAACCTCGTCTCCTGCTTTGCTTGCCTGACAACGGGCAAAAAGGAACCGGGGTAGTGAGCGAGCGAGATTCCAGGTTCGTGAAACGGACTGACACTGCGTCTCGTGCGTGGAAAAATCTACCTCTTCTTTTTGCAGCGTCTGCTTCTGCTTCTGCTTCTGCTTCTGCTGCTATGTGCACACTGAATTTATGACGCCAAGCTTTTTCCCGGAGCAACTTGCAAAGCGCCACCATCCTCGGTTCGGTTGTCTTTTGCCGAAACTTTAGAATGCTGCTCTACAACTTGACAACTTTCATAAAGTTTCTGCGATTCATACCTGAAAAGAAACGAGTATAGAGAGCATCCAGACTTTTTTTTTGGTTAGTAGAAAGCTAAAATCGGTCCTAATTAAGTAACTATAATTGTGCAAAAGTAGTGCAAATGTGGAAACATAACATGGTACCTCTTCTTCGTTGATTAATTGTAAGAGACCTTCATTAACAGGTTTGCGTTTACGGTACAGATTGGTACATATTCGGCTCCAAAATGGCATCTCAGTATCTTATACAACTAACTAATGCATTTGGGCCAATACACAAGAGAAAGAGAGGAAGAAGAGGAGGCGAACCATACAAAAAATGATGTATATATATGCAACACAAAAGCCCCAAGAGACAAAGCGCAAATTCTCATGCCACACATAAAAAAAATCGTATAATCGGTAATCACAAAAAAAAAAAAAACAGAAATTCAGGTGAATGCATCTTGGACCATGTAGAAATTAATGTGCATCGTGAGTACTGCATTGTCCTATATGAAAAATGCTTAAGTCAAAGATTTTTTTGTTGTTGAATAAAATAGCTCTCATGACGTACACATGCACACGCTGTGGAAATTGGAACAGTTTGAGCCATATACAGCATGTTTGAAAGCCAACAACACATGCTTCTGCTTTCTAGACTAACAGTCATAATATATATAGTCCTATCAGGTACCTGTATATGTGACGGTACACCTGTTGAGTACGTGTTAGAAAATAGGCATGGTTACCACACATCCATCAAATCCACTTGACGAACGGTACTTGGGGCCCAAGGTGCTATTGCGCAACCACAAATGGTATCATTATCATCGTGGAGATTAATTAAATAAATAAATCACAAGAGATTATCCAAAACGCATGGAGTTCATGCATGTCCATGGCAAGGAAAAAGATACAAGCCGAAGAAAAGAACCCACTCTCCTATTAGAAAAGAAAGGTAAGATGAAACAGGAGGCGCCTTCGTCCTTAAGCACTACTACGGTCCTCGTCGGTCGTCACCCCGGGTGGCCATCTTCCACAAATCGGACGGTCTGTATTGCTCGGCGCGCGTGGGAATCCCTTTTCCACTTCTTTTTCTCCGCCTTCCTGTTCTGTTTTATTCCTTTTTCTGGAATAAACCTCTACAAAGTCCTAATACTATAAAGCAGACCCTGCTCCTATACTTCACATTACATGCATAATTCATTCACAGGCATTAAAGATACGCATACGCCTCCAGATATAAATTTCTACTACTATATACATCCAGAGTATATAGTAATAAATTACAGAAATCACATCATTATATATAGAACAAGGATTCTGATTTGTCCCATGCATCAGTGTGTGTGCCTGCCCCGGCCGCTGGCCGGGGAATAATTTCATTTCATTTATGAGGAAACGAAAAGGAATCAGATGGGAGAATTCAGCAATTACGTGGGATGGGCGTGAGGCTGCGAAAAAGATATTTCTTTTGGGGAGCTTTAGCTATCGCAGGAAAGAGGCGTCGATCACACGTTTCCTACGCAAACCAAACCGCCTTACAGTACATCGGCGGCCACCGTTCCATCCATCCGCGATTTTCTTCCTCCCATCTCTCTCTCGATCGCCGCCCTGTATGTGTGTTAAGGAAAAAGAGATATAGTAGAGGAGATATTATATTTATATATATGCACATATATATCGCTATATGTATATATATAATTTTCGCTTTCGCTGCTGCGATATATACTTTGAGACGAGACGCCGCCGCCGCCGAGAATTCTTGGATTTCCAGAAGCCCCGAATCGGCGAATCATCCATCCCCTCCTCATCTCCCCGTCCAGCCGTCGTCCTCCTCTCCTCCCTTATCGACGATCCGGACCAGCCGCTGAATTCTTCTTCGTTCCCCTTCCCCTCCTCCGTCGCCGTCCTACTCCTACCCGGCCTCCTGTGAAGCAGGTAACGATTGATATGATAGGATAGATAATCCGTTGATACTGTTATTAACCGCCTGGGCCGGGCCGGGGCCCCTCTTCTCCCTTCCATCACATCGTGGAAGGTTTATCTCGATCGATCGATCGATCAGCTTCCTGCATTCATCTTCCCTGGCCGGGTTGCTTCTTCTCTTTCCTTGTTGAAAGATGCCTTTTGCAATCTGTTCTGCAGGACGGGGTTGAGTTGCACCAGCTCAAGTCAAGGGATATAGAGAGAGGAGAGACGTACATCAGTTGTAGCTCTGGAGGAACCTATACCAATGGTAAAGTAAAATTCTCTTCATTTTTGCAATTGATGCTTGTTGATTTGCCATATGCTTTTTTGCATGCGTATAGGTGTAGATCGACGAGATTGATGAGCTGCTGATCACCATCAGTACACATAGGTGTAGCAGCTTGTACACATGTAGTAGTAGTATGCATATAGAGACAGAGAACGAACTTGCATTTGATTTGGAGGAGACGACGTCAGGCAACGGCGATGGTGGTGATTGATGGATGGATTGTGGTGGTCGGTGGTGGTGCAGGTGATGGTGAGCGTGGCGAGCCCGAGCCCGATGGTGCGGTCGGAGGAGGACCTGGGCCCGCCGTGGCTGCGGCCGCTGCTGGACACGAGCTTCTTCGTGCCGTGCCAGCTGCACCCGGAGCTGAGCAAGAACGAGTGCAACCTCTTCTGCCTCGGCTGCACCGGCGACGCCCTCTGCGCCTACTGCCTACCGGCGCACCGCGACCACCACGTCGTCCAGGTCAGTCAGCTACTCTACTACAAGCGATATATGGTGGTGGTGCACTTCTCCTTCTTCGCCGCCGCCGCCGACACATAGACGCACACAGCATGATTCACGACATATATGAAATATGGCATGCAGATCCGGCGTTCGTCGTACCACAACGTGATCCGGGTGTCGGAGGTGGGGAAGCTGATCGACATCTCCCACGTGCAGACGTACGTGATCAACAGCGCCAAGATCGTGTTCCTCAACGGCCGGCCGCAGACCAGGCCCGGCAAGGGCGTCACCAACACCTGCGAGATCTGCTGCCGGAGCCTCCCGGACTCCTTCCGCTTCTGCTCCCTCGGATGCAAGGTCCGTCTTCTTCCTCGATCGCTCGCTTCTCTTCTCTCTTCCAGTTCGTTCGTTCCAGCCACGGACGACACACACGTTCTCTTTGTTCTTTCTTTTTTGTTTCTCTCTCTCTCTCTCTCAAAGGCTGTAGTAGTACGAGTAGCGGGCTAGCGGCAGTTTTGTCCGAGGCTCGGTATGGGCCAACGCCAACAGGGGATCGGACGGCACCCCACCGCACAGCAACATACGGCAGCTCGTGCGCGTCCTAGGCATCGGAAAGCAGACGAATCCTACCGCGCGCGGAAGCAAGCGGAAAGGGATTGGAGGCAGCGAGCGGACTATGCATGGTCTATTATGTTGGGGTTGTTGCCAAGCATCAAGCTCTTGACACCCTCCAATTTTTTAAGCATTGGCCTCTACCTCGGATAACCACCGATGGCTACCTGGATTGCATGACGACCGAAAGGAAGAACCTGGAATGGAACCATCAAGATCGAATGCCGTGGCACATTTTAGTTGACGCTTTGGCGGATGCGAATTCGATGCAAAATTGAGTTTTAAAACACAAAAATTCACTGGAAATTAATGAAGATAGCTAATCAAGCACGCACTTATTATATTCCACAGCAAAGCATCGGGTCCTAAGAAAACATTCTAAAGCATGCCCTTCCTGCTGGATAGTTGCTCCTTTGATGCTACATTAATTTGTGCTGGGAAGATACAACCGGTATCTTTCTCATACCATCTAGCCTTATTAGGAACTAATAAAAACACTCGATCGAGGCGGCCTAACACTTGTTTGTGGTCCCTCCACAAAAGGTAGCAATTGATGTGATCACATTTTGGCTCCATATATCTGCATTCTCGAATTGTTTTGCCTTGAAAATTCTTGGTTTCCAAAAAGTTATTGTGTTCCTCACCATGTCATGTTCATGGATACGGTAAGTTTCTTCTTCTTATTTTCTGTGGCATCCTACGGATATGTCTCAATTATTGCCCTTTGAACTTTGGGTGGGTGGTTGGGTGCGCTGCCGTTAAATGCAGCCAAATTGAATGGGTCCAGATATCTCCCATTTTATAGCCCATTTCCATCAAGATTGTTGCTCCAAATAGAGACCATTTGGTAGCTTTGTTGAGGTGAGCAATAGCTCCTTGCTGTGTCTTGCTGATTTCAGCTATGCCCGGCTTGCAACTGCAGCACAGTCTGGTTCTGTTGTCCAGCTCTTGTCTTTTCTGCGCGGGTGCTATTTTGCAGCTGAATGTTAGCGGAATTATTGGCTCTCCCTCAAAAAGCAATATTTTTCTGTCCCAGCGCAGCAATGTAGCCCCCCAAAGCAAGATTTTTTTTACGGTTCCAAACACCTAGCCTAGCCTAGCGAGGCTAGAGTTTTCCTTGCTAAGGATCCAAACGCACATCGCGTTTGCTCGAATGTTTGAACCAAAACGCTTAAGTTGATAGGAAAATGTGGGAAATTTACTTATACTTCAACACATGCACAAACTATATTAGGCCTCAAACATGGAAATAGGAGTCAACTGCAATTATTTTATCCAATTGCGTCTTCCAGGATCTCAACTTGAGACATCTTTTGGCCCTAAATATTCGGACCAGTTCAACCCAAGACAGAGAAAGACTTCCAGTTATACTTCGACAAACACCACAATGGAGCTCAAATCACAATCACAACAAAAAAATGATTAACCACGGTTCTTACCCAAATGCAGCAAGTAAGAAACTAATCTTGCCTTGATAATTTAAGCTATATGCTGTATCTGTCTAACTGTTGCACTAGGCACACACTATGTATAAAGTTTCCCTAGGGAGTTGAAACTCTCACTGTTCTAGTTTAGGATAAAGCTGCTTTCAGCAGAGTAGGTAGACTTGATACATCATGTGCTTAGGATCTTCCTATCGCTAATGCACTTCTTTTTCGTTTTCTTTTTTCAGCAGACCGAATCATCCAGTTAACCTTCTATCACTTAGAAAGGATAGAAAGAGTGTGCGTTATCTAGATAAAGTTGACTTCCCTGGCAGCGATGTTCTACCGAATCACCTTGTTTGCTTGTTGGGTTTGGGTATATATATTGAGCTATCAAGTATGGTTATGTTGATCCTTGCAAATTTTAATGGGATCAAACAAAGAGAAAATGACGATCCTTTAGTTTCAGATATTGTTCATTTATGCTATGCCTATTGCCTAGAAAGTGTGGTTTAGGCTGATGGTCATGATTAATTAGCCAATTAGGTCGCGGAATACCTAATTATTCCTATATATAACACTTGAGGTGCTTTAACTCTCCAAAAAAGTTGGAATAACTTATAATTTGGAATGGAGGGAGTAGTAAGGGGTAATGTCCAATTGTCAATCTCATGATCTCATCAGTGCGTGAAGCCATGTGTAAAAACATGCGCAGCAATACACCTATTGAAAGAGGTCATCTAACTAATAAGTAAATATGCAGTTCAGTTTGCAAGCTTTAGAAAGTTTAGATGAAGGCTAATCAACGTCAGTTGGAGTGTTGGACAAGGAGTTGCATATATTGCTGTGCTCCCTGTTCGCACTTAGTGCAACGACGACAGATCTACGGGGATAATAATAACACGCTCCATCATGGAGGGTTTCCTTTTATTTCTCTTTTTCACACGTCCTCATCAGCTCACTTCACCGATTCCTTGGACAGCTACTCTTGTGGCCATGGAAATTTCATTCTCATTTCTTCTTCTTCTTTGTGCTGCACTATGATAAACCAGCTATATATATTCATTCCCTCATCGATGGATGGACGTGTGATTAATTTGTATAATTTACAGCTGGGAGGGATGCAGCGGGACCCGAGCCTGACATTCGCCATACGGCCGAAGCGCGGGCAGGGCTCCGACGACGACGGGTCCGGCTCCGACGACTCGTTCTGCCCCAAGAAGCCCCGGCGGATGGCCGGGTTCGACGACGAGGGTATCCGGAGGTCCAACAACGGGCCCTTCACGCCCGGGACGCCGCCGATCAACCGCCGGTGCCGGCCGTCCAGGAGGAAGGGCATCCCCCACCGCGCCCCGTTCTACGGTTAGCTAGTCTAAGCTCCAGTGGAATGCAATGCAACACGCAGCCATCAATCAACCTTTAAAATAAACACTCCATCTTCAGCCAGCACGATGCTGTGTGCCACTCAGGTGTGAGCAGTGAAGTGATACAAAATCTTCTGCTACTGGTAGTAGGTCACCATATATAGCTAGATGTCTGTTCGCTTGAACTTATTAGCCGGCTTATCAGCTAGAATCTACAGTATTTTTCTCTCACAACAAAACAACTTCAGCCGAGCCGGCTTTAATACTAACCGAACAGGGTATATATATGTTTAGCTATATAGCCTGTTACATATATAGCTGTATACATGCATGCATACACAACACAATAATGCAGGCGAAAGATATCTGTACATGCCAGTATATTTGACAAAGGTTGTCAGTATGTGTAGACAATCTGAAAGGAGATAGAAACATAGGTAGGGTTTGGATTTTATTAGGTTGGCTAGTAGTAGTAGTCGAGATTGATATGTGAGATGGAACAAGCTAGCATCATGTATCTATCTCGGTGTTTGTAGTATTTGGCTGCTTCCCTCCACCACCCAATGCGTTTATTAGCGTTGTGGTGCGAAGCTAAACGTTTTTGTTAATCTCCTCCTCCTTATAGGAGCTTAATCTGTACATGTACAGACAGTGTATGTATCTATATGTCTGTGTACGTACTAGCAGAAATTAATAAAGAAAGAAAAGGGGAAGAAATACCTTGTGGTGTGTATGTAACCTGCGATCTGCAAGAAAATGTCTGTAAATTTATATGACTGATGATAAAATGCTAGTATTTTCTTGAGTTGAGCTCTGGTTTTCTGTTAGGTACGTATTCTAGCTTTGGGCATCACCATCGTCCAGTACTCTTATGTCACATCCCTGGAGTCGATGCGCCGAACAGGAAGAAAACGATGCTAGAGGCCTAGCATTGACAATGCGAGTCTGAGTCTGAACAGCGCTGCCTGTGTCACTGCCATTTCTTTTTCGGCGTCGGTTTGGTCCCAGGCTCTCCTACTGCTCTCACACAAGAAACAGGTGAATGGCAGCTTACTGCTCTCACGCACAAAATACAGGTGAATGACTAAACTTTACGTCATGTCATATTGAACGACACATGTACGGCGTATTAAATATAGACTAAAAAATAACTAATTGTACAGTTTATGACTAATTTGCGGGATAAATCTTTTAAGCCTAATTAGTCTATAATTTGACAATAAAGTGCTATAGTACACACATGTGCTCATGATAGGTTAATCAGGCTTAATAAATTCGTCTCGTGGATTACTGACGAATTCTATAATTTGTTTTTTTATTAGTATCTGAACACCCTATACGATACCCCCATATAACATCCGATGTGACAATCCAAAACTTTACAGGCTGAATCTAGACAAGGCCTAAGCTGAAATTGTCTATGGTAGACGGAATAGTGGCATGGCATTTGGGTGCCAACTGCGAAGAAGGGTAGCCTTCTGCTTCCATCAGGAAATTTACCCACCCGGCCAGAGTGGTTGGGCCGTCCTCCAGATTCCAGATGGATGGCCGCTGCGAGGTCCAGCTGCATTCGGCGACAAACAAAACCGTACGAAATGTCAGGGTGATGGGGATGGGGACAAAACTTGCTCCACAATTCCTGCGATGTAGGAGTACTTCCGTACGTTCACACAGCAGTCCTCAGTTGAAGGACGAATTTAAGACTGACGAATTCTTCTTTTCGTATTCTATCTACGTGCAGAAATAATTCATTTACTTTTAATAAAATCTTTCTTCCCCGTCTAATATGGCGTGTCATTGCACGTTCTAGAATCCATGCTGCGTACAATTGTTAGGCCTCGTTTAATTTTAGGGCGTAAAGTTTTAAGGGGTCACATCGGGTATTACATAGAGATGTCGCATGGGGTGTTCGGATATTAATAAAAAAAATAAATTACAGAATCAGTCAGTAATCCACGATACGAATTTATTAAGCCTAACTAATCCATTATTAGCACATGTGCTATTGTAGCACAACATTGTCAAATTATGGACTTATTAGGCTTAAAATATTCGTCTCGCAAATTAGTCGCAAACTGTGCAATTAATTATTTTTTTAGTCTATATTTAATACTTCATGCATGTGTTTAAATATTCAATGAGATAGGAAGTAAACTTTAGAGGAGGAACTAAACGAGGCGAAACCAAGAAACAAAATTGTGGCCCTGAAGGCGTGACTTGAACGCTATGACCGGACGGAGGTCCAGTGGCAAATGAGACCCTGCCGAGTGCCGAGTCCAGAGTCTGCCTGGAGACTGTACTGGAGTGTCAACGCTTTTGACAGAGGATGGATGGACCACCAACGAACCCAACGGCCCTCCCAGAGTCCCAGTCCCAACCGAAACAAAAGCTACAGGCTATTTGCAGGAAGCAGCCGTGAAAAAGGCGCGCAAGAGGGGGTTCCCGGGCGGGTCAGGCAGCCGCCGGAACCGCTCGGCGTCGCCGTCCCAGTGTCCCCCCACCCACCAGCTTTTCTCAGCAAGGACGAGCGCGTCAGCGTCAGAATGCGCGAGAGTCCTCGGGTGCGCCACGGCTCCGCGGGCGGCGGAACCGTTTCTAGCACTTGGGGGTGCTCGCCCAGGCAGCTCAATCCGGCCGCCAGGCGCTCAAAATCGACGGCCTAGGGAGCTGCCTGGCTCAGGCGCCTTCACCAGGGTCAGAACCAAACAAGCCCTAGCAGCGGGCTTGACGTGGGTGAGGATGGAACTGAACCGTGTTTACTAATCCGTGTGGGAACGACTCAGATCGACGGGGCCCGTCGGGGAACGGATGGGTTTCGGCGGCGGCCGGCGGAGGACGAGGGGAATCTATATACTCCCTCCAGCTCTATTTATCTGGTGCACAATTCAAACTATAAAATAATTAGGCTAATACTTTTTAACTATTATAATACAAACTTTATATGATTAGATTTATAAGAAATTATACTGTCCCATAATTATAAGTTTATAAGTATAAATAATATAATATAAAGCAACTGAATAATTAAAGTGTAATTTAGGAGATCGTATCATTATGACTTGCACCACGTAAAATGGACCGGAGGGAGTATCTCTTATAAAAGTAAACCCCATTGATAATTTATCTTATGCAAAGTGCCTACATCAGCATCCACTGGAACATCCAACTAGCACATTCAACTATCTCGTTATGCAAAGTGTCCACATCAATATCCACTAACACATGCCATTATATCTTCATTCAAGCTATTCACGTTAGCAAACCACATCATTTACTAACATATTTAGTTGTCCACATCATAATGCTAAAAATCATCCACTAACATATATTATGATATTTATTTAATTATATTAGTAAATATAAATAGTATATTTTTACCAGCGATTCACGCAACAACGCGCAGGACGTTCTTCTGGTGTCTCTTATGGCCAAGTGCGCGAAATAAAGAAAGAAACATACATATGGTGGTGCGCTCTGGACGGCGACTAGGCTTGTTTGTGTGTTCCGTGCAACTGTGCTCCAGCCTTCGTTGCGATCAAGCCGTCTGATTTTTATTTTTTATAGCAACATCAAGCCGTCAGCCGTCTGATGGGACGTCACCATCAACTTAGTACGTTCTGTTCGTTCGAATAATAGTACGTACTATCTGTTCTGACGGGCCTAGGGCCCAGGCCTGGAGGGGGGACATCAGCCCACGGGAGGGAAAAGGCAGCACCTTGCCACAGCCCACGGGAGGGAAAACGATTGGTTTTCTCGAGTCTGGACTCTCTACTTCCAATGACGCCACGACGATTGGGGACCTGCGCATGCTAGATACTCCCTCCATCTAAAATATAAATAACTTTCTAAAATTTTCTAAACAGATTAAAGATGATAGCAAAAGCAGCATGTATTCTTATCTTCTTTTCTCTCCTGAAGAATATCTTCTAGATTTGGTAGTAGTTATCATCTGCATGTACCCGTAATTAGCTTTCGCAGAATATGATCTATTTTACTAAGTTTGGGCCATGGAGTTAACTAATCAATAAATAATAAATAAAGATATATAGTGGCCAGATGCCTTATCATCATGCGGCACAACTGTAGAGTAGGTCACTGGAATCAATCAGGTGAGAAAAGTTTGAGTTAAAAGGAATAATATTTGAGAAAAAAGGAACCCATCACCTACTTATGCAAGGAGAACATAAAGGAATATCAGGATTCAGGAATGCATGGCGCGTAAAATTCTAGAATTGATACTTTACTACTACTCTAAACATCTTTAGAGGCAGGCAAAATATATTTTCAAGGGCGGTCAGCCCAACCACTGCAATGTCACCGATTGTGAAGATGGGGTGTCTCTAGCGACGGGCTTTTAACCGTCCCTGAAAATACATTTCTAGGGGCGATTTTGTTAGATCTCCGCCCCTGAAAATGGTATTTTTAGAGGCGGTTTCATTAGAAGAACCGCCTCTGATAGTGCATTTTCAGGGGCGGTTGCAGTAGACAAACCGTATCTAAAAATGCTTTTTCAGGGGCAGTTTCAATACATGAACCACCCCTGAAAATGCATTACCAGGGGCGGCTGCTGCAATGCAATCGTCCCTGAAAATGTTTTTTCAAGGACGGTTGTGGCAATGCAACCGCCTCTGAAAATCAGTTTTAAATTTTTGAATTTGAAATTTCCCGCCAAATTTGAAATCGTGCTTTCCCACCAAATTTCAGACCCGATTGCAAATGATTCAAATTAACTTCATAAATACACAATAGTGCACTAGTTATACACACATAATCAACAAAGTATTTGTACATTACAAATTACAATTCAACATTAATTGTGCTCCTGTCCAAAGAATGAAAAGGAGGGATACATGCATTTTAGGCGAAGGGACTTAAACTTGGGATGTGTTGCAAACTCCGAGCCATGATCATAGAATAAGCCCTTCGGATTAAGAACCTCTCACACCATGAACTTGCAGAAATCTTGTGAAACAAGTTGAACATCGCTTTGGGTAATTTCTTCG